GAAAGTTCTGCTTCTAGAGTTGCTGCATTCCTGGCTTGTGGCTTGTCATTCTGAACTTCAAGGTTAGCATCTTCAAATATCTCTCTGGCTCCCTATTAGAAGGATACAGGTGATTGCATTTAGGGTGTGCCAGGATAGACCTCTTACATCAAAAGTCTTAATTCACTTACCACTGAAGTCCTCCTTGCCCGCCTTTTACCATTTAAGGTAACATAGGCTGTGGGGATTAGGACATGGATATTTTTTGGGAGGCCATTTTCTAATCTACTACACCCTATAGGGTATATAAAATTGTTGGTTTGTTTAAAAAAAAAATTAGGGGCCGAAGATTTAGCTCAGTGGTACCATGCCTGCCTCACAAGTGCTAGGTCCTGAGTTCGATCCCCGGTACTAGAAAAAAATAAAATAAAACTATATTTTACTTTGTTGATTGATTCTGATCTTTATCATTTCTTTTGATTTGTGTTTACTTTGCTCTTTTTTCTTTTAATGAGGAGAAATTTGATTTAGCACACATTTTTTGTAGCTTCTGAAGTTGGAAATTTGGTAATTGATTTTAGACTTTTTTGATTAACACTTTCCCGCTGGTTTGAACCATCATGTACATGCATGACTGTCCCAATGGGTGACTTGTACTACTGGTGGTGCAGGTGGTAGATACAGTCATGCATGGGATAGTCACACATATACCACCAGTAATTTAAGCCGAATATGAAATACTGCTCTATTGTGAAGATGTGAAAGGAATTAAGGCTACATAAAAATTACTACAGAGCCAGACTTAGTGATATATACCTAAAATCCCAGCATTTAGGAGGCTAAGGCAGGAGAATCATGAGTTCGAGAGCAGCTTGGACAACATAGCAAAACCCTGCCTCAAAAAACAAAACAACAGCAAAAACACGTTGGTTTGTTGGGAGAATTCATTTCCTCGTAGTGTAGAACTGAGGACCCTAGTTTCTTACTGGCTATTGTCAGGAGACACTATATCAAGCCTATAAGGGGATCTGTACAGTAAGTCTGCTCGCAAGAGTGTGTCTAGAAGCTAGAATAAGTCTTACATATTACCAGGAAAGTAGTGATCTGTCGCCTCTGCCATATTCTGTTTGCTAGCACAGGTTATAGGTCCTGCCCACACTCAATGGGAGGGAATTACACAAAGGTAGATACCAGGAGGCAGGGATGGTTGGTGCTTAGAGTCTCTGTACCACAGCAGTAAAATCTAAACACTGTTGTAGCTACATACTACAAATTTTGACACATTTTTACATCTTAGTAAAAAATATTTCCAAGTTTCCCTTTCAGAATCTTCTGTGATACATAGGTCATTTAGAAGTAGGTTTTTAAATTATCGTTTATTTAAAGATTTCAGTACTTTAAAATTTACTGAGCCCCATTTTACAGCCTCGCATACCATGCACTTGAGAGTTGTTCTTCATTTATTGCCAGTAATGTTCTAGAGAATAGGTGTCAACTAGGTCCAGCGTGGATGACAAGTGTGGCTCAGATCGTGTAAGATCCTCCCACTCCCTTATAAGAGTTGCGGGGTGACAGTGTGAAATTTTCATCTGTGTGGAATTGACCAGCTTTTTCTTCAGTTTGTTAATTTTTCTTTCATGTATTTTGAATCTCTTTCAAGGTAAATATATTTCTGATTATTAGTCCCCACCCCTTTTGGGCTTTCACTACAGTATTTAGAACATTTATAGCCATTATTTCTTGACAGGTTTTCTGTTTTGTTTTTGCTTCATTCCCTCTTCTCTATATAAGACACCAGTTACACATATATTGCACATTTTGATATTGACTCACAGATTCATTGTTTCAGTCTTATTTTCTCTCTCAGGATTGAATAGTTTGATTCACTTTCATTGTCACTTTGCTTTTATCTCCATTCTGCAGTAAAGTCCATTGGTGAATTTTTGTATTAGATATTTTATTTTTCAGTTCTGTAATTTCTACTTGGTTCTTTTGTACTTTCTTTGCTGAGATTTCCTGTCTTTTTGAAACTTCCATCTTGTCATTAAAGATAGTTATAATAGTTATTTTTAAATCCTCTATTAATAAGACATCTGCATCATATCTAGGTTATACTTTTGTGTGGTTTTTTTTGTTTGTTTGTTTGTTTGTTTGGTACCAGGGATCGAACTCAGGCAAGGCAGGCAGCGGAACTGCTGAGCCAAATCCCGGCCCTAGGTTATACTTTTAAGAATGGATCAGTATTTGTTTGGTTTTAGATTTTTGTTTGATTTGTTTTCTTTTTTGCTTTGTTGAATTTTCTTTTTTGCTTTGTTGAGTAGTTCTAGATTTTATCCCAGACATTTGTGAATGTTATGTTGTAAAGTGTCTGGATTCTGCTGTATTCCTCCAGACAGTGTTGACTTATTTTGTTTTGTTGGAGTAGGTAGTTAATTTGGTTAATTTCAAGCCACAAAGTCTGTTTCTTGCTTGGCATCTCAAATCTCACTTAGCTAGAGTGCTTCTGACTACCTTAAAAATGTGTGGCTATGAATTTAGCTGGTGAGTTGATCTGTGCTTATAAATAGAAGTTAGGGGCACCTCCTCACTGGCACTCTTTCTCCCCCATTTTTGAGCAGCTGTGATTACCCCAAATGTTCTCTAGTTCTTCATGGCAAAAAGACTGAGGTAGAGTTTAGCACTGACTGCTGTCAGGCTACGTGAGCAATGAAAGTGGGAAATTTGCCCCATGCCATCCCTTCTCCCTGGCTCTCTCTGTAGAATCTGACTGTTTGGTGTCTGTCTTTAAGTAGTTGCTTTGCGTAGCGTTTGTAGGTTGTTTTGGTTTTGGCTTTTTGAGGCAAGGTCTTGCTTTGCTGCTCAGGCTGGTCTGAAACTGAGGACTCAAGTACGGCCTCCCACCCCAGCCTTCTTGCTGGCTGGGACTACAGGCCTTTGTTACTGTTCCTGGATGGGGTTGTAGTTTTTAAATTTGTAGAGGGTTTTTCTGGTAAAAGCTTTATTAACTAATTGGAATTGAGCAGTTTAAAATTTGTATTTTAGAAGTTAACTTATGAAACAGTGGGGTGAAAAAAATTAGGTTTTATAATTAGCCATTAAATTTAAACTGAATTTGACTTCCTTAAAGTGAATTTTCCTTTTTTCAATAAATTTTATTTTATCCCATTTCCCCCCCCGAAGCCCCCTCCTCTCCCTATGTACAAAAGCTTTGTTTCCATTTTTTTCCTTCTGTTTTCACTTTCTTTCTTGTCCCTTTCTTCCTTTCTCCCTGCTCCCTCCCTGTTCCCTTTCCCATTTGAACACTCTCTTCCCATTTCCCAACACCCGTTATACATCTCATCCCTTATTTTCACATTGCTTCACACACCAGAGAAACAATACATTATTTAAATGCGTGTCTGATTTATTTCATTGAAGTGAATTTTCTAGAATTTTTGTCTTGTTCTTTTGTTCTTTAATATATAGCCATTTTGAAATATTTGATAAAAATTCTTATTACAGTAATTATTTTTAAAAATGCTTTGGTTTCATAAGTAGTATCTTCAGCTGGTCCTCATCTCCTGTGGCTTTTTGGACAGATGAGGCTGGTACTCCCCAGAATAACACTTGAAGGTGGAATTTTGAAATTATTATGTTTCAAAATGTATGAGATATAATGAAAACTACAATGAATGTTTACATTTTTTAAAGAATTTATTACAGTAGAAGACACATTGCCATTAGTCCCCCTCAGAATACTCCGTGCTTTCAACACACCCCTTCATTATTCTTGCCACTTTCTGAAGCAGTTTTAGAAGTCCTCTTTGTGTCTCTTCAGGGCTGCCTTAATGTCCTGAATCAGTTCGACATGTTTATGGTAATTTCTGTCAACTGAAAACATCGCTGTGTATCCTCATCCATTTTTTTTTTTAACTGAATCTGGCACCGTGTGCCTTCTGGCTCTTCTCCAAAGTCAAAATGACCGTGAAGGGTAAAGGTTGTGAATTGACTCAGTACATTGAGGCAGCTACAATAGCATAACTGTAGTAAATTTTTAAAAATTTAAATACTTTTTTTATCATACTGCGTGATTGGAATTATGTTTTTCTTTTAAACTGTCTTGTATTTTCTATATTTTTACAATGGGAAATATTTGTCCTAGTTACAAAATATGTGTTTATTAAATATAAATAATAAGAAGTAGCACAGAAAGTTATAATTTTGTCTATAACCTGGCTTCCCCAAAGACAGTTGTCACCTAAAATCTGCTGCCATTTTGATCCCAATACTTTAACCCATGGGTTGGATTTAGGGCAGCACAAGCTGGAGTTTGTTATCAATAAACTAAAGATCCATATGTTGGAAGTAATGTGAAACTTACAAAAAGCATCCAGAAAAATTCCACTTACTAGACAAAAATCAGTGCAAAATTACCTAACAGCAGCAGCTAAAACTACATGTGGTCGTTATTGACCAACAGAAGTATTAAGCCCTGAAAAATTTGAGAGCACCTCAATTTGACCTAAGAAATCCAGATGTGTTAAAAATAACACACACATGGGCCGGTGATTTAACACAGTGATGCCTCAAGTGCAAGGTCCAGTACCAAAAAAAAAAAAAGAAAGAAAAGAAATAACACGCACAAATGTTAAAAGCAACAAAATAGCCATGGCACATGGCTGTAGTTTGAGCACTCGGGAAGTTGAAGCAGAAAGATCCTGAGTTTGAGGCTGACCTGAGCTATATAGCAAGGTCTGAGCCAGCCTGGACTATGTCAAGACTCTGTCTGGAAAAAAAAGACAAAACACACAATTGACACAAACTTTATTATTAATTTGGCACTTGAGACTAATGAAATTGGAAAGAAATGGAGTTGATTTGACTGATTTGTTATTACCGTTTCCATTACTTTGATGTTACATGTCTTAGGATGGCGTTCCATGTTAGTTTGCCCTCATTCTTTTTAATGATGATTTCTTATTCTACTGGATGAATCTGTAATAAATTACTCTACTTTTTTAAAAACCTTTTTTGTTTTGCAGAATATGCTTTTAAGGCTATTAACCAGGGTGGCCTTACCTCAGTAGCTGTCAGGGGAAAAGACTGTGCAGTAATTGTCACACAGAAGAAAGTTCCTGTAAGTAATGCTGACTAAGTAGTTACTATAGAATACACTGCATGAGTTTTTGTTTATTTGTTTGTTTTTTTGTTTGTTTGTTTGTTTTGGTACCAAGCATTAAACTTGGGACCTTGTGCTTGCAAGACACATGAGTTTTTCATGTCTTTGTTCAGAGGTATATTCTTGTTTTGACTCTGCTTTCCTATTAGTTATTCAAGGAGTATTTATTGAGATCAATGTATAGTTTAGCTGAGTAGACAGAAGTAACATGTTAAACTTTGTGTCATAATTATAATAAGCATATTGGGATTTCTAAGTTTGTTTCTTCTGGGATCTTGAGACAAGTTTGGGAAGTCCACTGGAAACAGCTAGAAAAGGAAAATAGTCTTCCTCCAAACCTCTCCCCTTTTTAAATTGGTTTTAACTTTATAATGAATGTAAGACTATCTGTCCATTAACTCCCATTATATATGTTGTTATAGTTCTGTAGTATTGTTCTTTTATAGCTGCCCAGAGACCTGTGAGGTTTCTTAATTTTTTATTTGATTTGTTCATTAGGATAAATTACTGGATTCCAGTACAGTGACTCACTTATTCAAGATAACAGAAAACATTGGCTGTGTGATGACTGGAATGACAGGTAAGCAGCTAAGGGTCTGTTTAGGTGCACAGTTCTTAACTTGTTTTCTTCAAATAATTCTGAGTTATGTATTAATTTTAACACTCCTTTTCGTGCCTTAATAGTACATGTTCAGTCTTCCAAGGCTGGTATCAATATTTTTAAGAGTATTGTGAGCTTTTTAAAATTACAAATATAATGGAGTTAGGTCTCCATGCAACCACTGTAGAAACTAAGTCCCTTCTTGTACATGCTGTATTTTCTAAGTCTTCTATATCTCACTCAAATCTGGTAATCATGGCACTCGTTAAAAGTGAGTGACACGGGCCAGGGATTTAGCTCAGCGGTCCGGTGGCCTGCCTTGCAAGCGCAAGGACCCGAGTTCAATCCCTGGTACCAAAAACAAACAGACAAAAAAAGTGAGTGACAATTATTATAAAAATTACTTTGGTTTTTCTGTTTTCTGAGATCAAGGGAAAATTCAAGCCTAAAAACAAAAACTGAGCAAGATTATTCTTCTTCTAGTAGCTTGTTCTTTTGGGAGTTACTAGACACTTCTAGAAACTATTTTGAATGCTACTGATCATGAAGGGCTCAGTATAAAAAGGCAATATGGTATTGAGAGCTCCTTAAATTTTTTCTTTTTTTTTCCTCTCCCTCTCATCTCCCGCAAATTTTTCCTTTCTTATGAATTTGTTGCTGAGTTACTCAGTATTCATTGGCAGAGGAAAAAGCCATAGTGGACCCCCTCCTTTCCTTCACTCATACTGGAAAGAAAGATAAAGATCTGTATGGTGGGAAAATTATCTGGCTTTGAGGTTCGTTCTTCTGAGGAGATCAGCATTGATTCATTCATTCATTTATTTGTCGTGTTGTAAGCTGACAGCAGATCCCAAGTACAGAGGGCACGCTATGAGGCAGCTAATTGGAAATACAAGTATGGCTATGAGATTCCTGTGGACATGCTATGTAAAAGAATTGCTGATATTTCTCAAGTTTACACACAGAATGCTGAAATGAGGCCACTTGGTTGTTGTAAGTATGCTACAAAATCTCCCAAATAATTGACGAGCTGTAATTTTTTTTTGAGAACACATACAAAAATATGTAAGTAACACTTGGGAGTCTGAACATGTTTTGGAAACTTCATAAGGTGAGAAAAATCTTTATAATAAATCAGGGCTAAAAGGTAGGTCTTATTTATAACAGTACTTTGGACAGTATCTTTGTGTGTATATGTGGCACTGGGAATTGAACCCAGGGCCTTTGCGCTAAGCTATATCCCCAGCTGCCCTCCCATCCCTGTTTTTGAGATAGGATCTCACTAAGTTGGCCCAGGCTGGACTCAAACTTGTGATCCTTCTGCCTCAGCCTCCCAGAGTGCTAAGATTACAGGCAAATACCACCAAGCCTAGCTTGGACATGATCTTTAAGCTTTCCATGGTGCTATTAGATTTTTATCAAAAAATTTCTGTTTGGGATATATGATTTGAAAGATTGAAATCTCTTATTATTAGACTGTAGTAAGTGTTTATTAATCAGAAACTTAGGGTGGGGCTCAGAAAACTTTTTTTTTTTTTTTTTTGAGACCGCTCATTAAGTTGCCTGGGCTGGCTTCAAACTTGTGCTCTCCTGCCTCAGCCTTCTGAGTACCTGGCATTACAGTTGTGCATTACCATACCTGGCCAATCATCAAATTTTACCTCAGACTGTCTTTTCTCCATGTGCTCTGTCATTTTTTCATTGTTTATTGATTTTGCTGCCTGATTTGCCCATTTCTTCTCTCCCTTCTCTGTCTTCCTAGCCTCTCTTCTGTATTCCTTCATGAGTGATTCTCAAATTGTGATTGTTGTTCCCTTGTAAAAAAATGATTCCTCATTGGCCATAGGGTAAGCCCCAAGCTCCGTAAAATGATGTGACTCTGGCAGAGGAAAGCTGCTAGCCTCATGTCTGGCTAGGGGCCTGAGGTCAGCACTTCCATCCCGGCCCTTCCCCGTGGCCTGTCCAGGCACACCCAGAAGTGTGCTTAACTCAGTTTTCCTAGGTGTCTCTCAAGCCAGTGGAACTGACATCCTTGTGACCTGTGAAATCTTGTTCATCCTGCCAGACCCTGAAGTGAAAAAGTTATTTGTAGGCCAGCACTGGTGGGGTGTGTCTGTAATCCCAGCACTCTGGGATGCTGACGGAAGAGGATTACCAGTTAGAACACAGTCTGGGCAACTTGGCAAATTAGTGAGACCCTGCCTCAAAATTTTCGAAAAGCTGGGGACAGCAGATGGCTGGGGCTGTACCTCATTGTGAAGGACCTACGTTTAATCCTCAGTAACACACACACACACACACACACACACACACACACACAATTGTTTTCCCCCAGCAGTAAATGGGTCATCTCTTTTGTGTTGCCTTTTTTTTTTTTTAATATATCAAGTTTAAAGTGTAAAGAAAATTACAGGGTGACATAACATTCTAATAAGGCAGATACTGATAACTATCATAGTGTTAATGGCATAAAGTTGAAAATTCCTCACTAGTAGATGCTATAAAAACATCTATACATTGTCCTTCTGCCACCCTGCCTGTGAGCCAGCTGACTATGGACTGAAACCTCTATAAATTGTAAGCCCAATAAACCTTTCCCTCCCTTAAAAAACAAAAACAAAAAACCCATACATATGAGTAAAGTGGTTGGCTAGTACTGAATCTCACAGTGAGAACTAAGAGGCTCAGGCGCTGGGGATGTGGCTCAATGGTAAGAGCCCTTGCCTAGCATGTGTGAGGCCTTGAGTTTGATTCCCAGCACCTATTCCTTACCCCCGCCCCCATGAAAAGTTGAGATCTAGAGTAAGTAAGCAGTAGGTTCACCCTTACTTATACTTCATTATCTGTTCTGCTGAGTAGGATGTTTGATGTTTACTTTAATATCCATAATGTAACATGTATAAAACTATACAGAATTTAGGGTTTAGTTTGTGCTGACTTACTAGACGGGCAATACCAGTAATAACAAAGATGGGCTATGAAAAGGTAGTCAGGTAGCTCCTAGTTGAGACAGACTTTGTAGCAGCATTCCCAGAGTGTTAAGCATTTTGTTTTGGGTTTGCACTACTGGGGGGCCTTTGCCCTGAGCTACAGCCCCAAGCCATTTTTAATTATTTGTTTGTTTTTGTTTTTTTGAGACAGGATCTCACTAAGTAATTCAGGCTGGCCTTGAACTCAAATCCATATCAATCCTGCTTCAGCCTCGAGTGCTGGAATACAGGTGTGCACCACCATACCCAGTTAAAGTATTTCCTAAATTTAAAGGGGGTGGGTACTGGACATGGTGGTACATGCTTGTAATCCCAGCACTTGGGAGGCTGAGGCAGGAGGATCACCATGAGTTCAAGGCCAGCCTGGGCTGCCTAGTGAGTTCAGGGCTGCCTGAACTACATAGTGAGGCTGTCTCAAAAAACTAAAATTTAAAAATGGGGCAGAGGGAGCAGTCCTTGATCAAATAAATTTAAGAACTGTGGGATTAAATATATTGTTCTACAGTAGAACATTTCAGAACATTTATTATGCTGTTTATTATTTGTTTCCAGAAAAGATAATGAAAATGTTTTCCAAATTTACTTGACCAGGTAACATAAGGATTAGGTTCCAATAAATATGTGTTGGGTACTAGCAAGGATTAGAAGAATTGCAAATTACATTTTTAATGTTGAGACTCTTAAAACTGCAATACATCCTTTGGGAAATAGAAATGTATTTGTTACCTGATTTATTTATGGTAACACCCTACATTTTGTTTACCAGTTTTCTTAAAGCAAAACACATCCTAAAAGTAATGACAGTTAATGAGACACCACCAAGAAAGGCAGTTTTGTTGTCTAAAACTGTAAGCTGTTTACTTAGGCTCTTTCTTTTAGGTATGATTTTAATTGGTATCGATGAAGAACAAGGCCCTCAGGTGTACAAGTGTGACCCTGCAGGTTACTACTGTGGGTTTAAAGCCACTGCAGCAGGTGTGAAACAAACTGAGTCAACCAGCTTCCTTGAAAAAAAAGTGAAGAAGAAATTTGATTGGACATTTGAACAGACAGTGGAAGTAAGTTAAACCAAAAGGAATATTTCTATGCTGTATAAAACAGTGGAGGTCTTTCATAACTGGAAGTATTAGACCACCTTTATAGAAACCCTGTTCCCGAGTTACGTTACAAGACCCAAGCTTTTCAGTTTACTAGTAAAACTGATGTCACTCAGCTAACAGAAAAATGGAGCCTGCTTAATTCCTGTCTTATTTCATAATGTATTTGAAACAGTGTTTCATGAATACATAAAATGTAACAGTTTAAGTAAGAATAAGAAACAAGATCAGGCACCTGTGTGGTTGCTATGCATGTGTGGTTACTATGGTGGAGAGAACTTGTTAGGTTTAAGCTTCCTGATAACAAAAATGCAAAGGTTGAGTCATTAATATTGTTCTTTAGGTCCTAAAGGAAAAACAGCCACACACCAGATTCTCGAGGAAGCACTTCACTGGGGTGCAGAAAGAAAGCTTTCTGCAGAGGTTGTTTATTGTGACAGGGAAAGTTTAAAAGGACAGAACAAGTAAAAATTCTTACACAAATACTTAGAAACCTTAGACTGTAAAGAAGCCTCTTATTTCCTGCCAATAAAAATTTTAGTAGACTTTTGAATATAAGGATCTGGGGCTAAATCCCTTCTGAAAACTGACAACGTGCTTCTGATAAATGATAAATAATACTTTTATATTTGGCTGGCAGTCTATCTTATAGTAAGGGAAGATATAAAGTTCTCATCTGGGAGATAATATGCCTTCTTTAAACTTAGTTTTTTAAAGGTTTTTAAAATTATAATTCATTGCATCAGATTTAAGCCCACTTAAAAATTTATATTCTTGGCTGGGGATTTAGCTTAGTGGTTCCGCCACTTGCCTCGAAAGTTCAAGGACCCGAGTTTGATCCTGGTACCAAAAAAGAAAAAATTTACACTCTTGAATTGTTCCCGTAAATTCCTTGTAGGTACAGACTGTTTTCCTCTCCCATTTGACACCAGATTTTAAGTAACTTGTATAAATCATTGTATTTTGTTTGCTGTACCTCTTTAAGGCTTGATTTAGTAGAAATAAGATTATTGTAACTGACAGTTGGCACATTTAAGTTAAGCAGTTTGTTAGTAACAATTTCACTGAAGCATGGAGCAGAAATGAATAGCTTGTGGTGACCTTACATGTTATTTAAATAAGCTTGGGGTGTGAAAACCTTGTAATCTCTTAAAAAATAATAAATGTTAATGTCGGTACTTTTTCAGACTGCAATTACTTGCCTGTCTACTGTTCTTTCAATTGATTTCAAACCTTCAGAAATAGAAGTTGGAGTAGTTACAGTTGAAAATCCTAAATTCAGGTGAGTTGTATTGTCAGCCACGCATTTAAGTTTGCTAAGCCTAAAAAGGTGGAGGAGACCTTCGCATCCATTTGGGAGGGGGATAGGGAATGTTGAACTATGCTTGTATTTTTTTTCTTTGACATCTGAAAGAGCTGCTTTAAAACTTAGGAAGGGCTGGGGTAATAACTCATGATAGCATGCTCAAGGCTGTGGGTTCAAACCCCAGCATTAACAATTTCTTTAAGGCAGACAGCAGTGTCTCTTGAATTTCACAGTGCTTTTATTTATAACACCAGAAGTGACATGAAATTTAGTTAAGTAAAATAAGCATAAGTGTATTCTGGTTTTTTTTTTTTTTTTTTTTTTTTTTTTTTTTTTTTAATATAGAGAGAGAGAGAGAGAGAGAGAGAGAGAGAGAGAGAGAGAGATAAAAAAAATAAGTTTTTTTTTTTTTTTTTTTTTTTTTTTTTTTTTTTTTAGTTTATGTCCAAGAGAAATTCAGTTCCCAGAATAGTCGTTTTCAGTTTCTCAGGTGGAGCCTGGTTAAGTGGAGCTCTGAAGAGCAATACGAAACACCAATACACAGCAGATTGTTACCTAGAAATCTTTAGAAACCCCAAATTTTGAATACAGCTAATTGAATTGCAGATGCTCCAGTGCTTGTGTGTTCTTATTCAAAGGGAGCAATTCCCAAACCTACCCTTCCACGATTCAAACACATATAGTTGCTTAACATACATCTGTTCATTGAATCCTCCCTATGAGGTGGTTTGCATACCAGTACCAGGACGTTCTTGTGATTAGTGAAAAATAAGATTAAATCCATAGATATAAGAAACTACTGGGAGACATTTAACTGTTATATATACTTTTTTTTTTTGGTACTGGGGATTGAACTTGGAATTTTGTACTTGCAAGGCAGGCTATAGCACCACTGAGCTAAATCCCTGCCCTAACATATATATCTATATCTATCTATCTATCTATCTATCTATCTATATATATATATGTGTGTGTACGTGTGTGTGTGTGTGTGTATACACACACATCTGTAAATCACAACTGTTTTGATTGTGTGTGAAGTGAGATGCCAAACTTAGTTCGACTTTGAAGAGTTTTTAGATAGTATGCATATTTTTCAATTTGTTATTTTGATTGCACATAAGTGATAACAAATATGAAAAATTCATGAGATTAAGGGCGGGAGGAACACTTGAATCTAGCTTAACTTTATTTCTGCAGGAAAAGTTGTTGATGTATTCCTGCCAGCCTGAACCACCAGTGGTACATGCACGACTGTCCCATCCAGGCAGCTGGGACCCACTGGGGGTACAAATGGATCCATTCACCTTTATCTGTCTTTACTATAAAAAGCAGAAGAACCACCAAGGAACAAGGGAATAATAAAAGAAAATTTTACCACTGAAATTAGTAATAATCTATGTCACAACAGTGACTTGTTTTTGTTTCAGCATCTCATATTAACAAAAAAGCAAACATAGGTTAGCTGTGTATCATCAGATAATTGAATTCAGATCAGAGCCACCTGGCAGCGAAACGTTCAGAGCATTAAATTTCAGTGGGAACAATTTACAGGTCTCGGTAAAGAACTTGGAGTTCAGTCTCTTTTTTTTCCTGAGACCTTTTAAATTTCATTTGCATCTGTTAAATTATGTAAACTACTCAGTATTGTCACAACTTGCACTACAGTTGCCATCATGACAGTTTTTGCTTTTTAGAATTAATCAGAAGCAGATCCCATCGATGTTTGCCAAGCAATTGATTACTTTCAAGACAGATACCATTTAGGAAATACATGCTCAACATGGAGCACCTTCTGGTTATTTATAATTTTATTTTCATGGACTTCTAAATATGAGTGGCTTTTTTTATAATTAAGTTTCTCAGTGAATTTTCTCTCAGCACATAGTGGGCATAAAAGCATTTGGCTTTGGAACTAAATAGAACACACGTGTAGCTTACTTTCATACTATTCAGTTGAAGTGTTTTCTGTCTCTGCTACAACTAAAGGGTTTTCACCTAATTCTAGATCTGATTTTTAAAAAATAAACATTTTTGTATATAGATGAAGTTGACATAATGTCTGGAATTCTTTAAAAATCTGATGGAGTCGTAGGTACATTTTTTAGAGTGGTTAATGTCTTTTGTATGTTTGAACTTCTCCATAATAAAATAGTTTGAAGCGAACACTTACTGGTTTTTTACCCTTCTAGGATTCTTACAGAAGCAGAGATTGATGCTCACCTTGTTGCTCTAGCAGAGAGAGACTAAACATTGTCATTAGTTTACCAAGTCCATGAAGCCACTTGCCTGTGTGTTTGATAACAACAGACCAACATTACGGAGGCCCTTGGATTGAAAGAAGAACCTCTCCCACTCCTGCCACCCAAGTGGTTAGGATTCTGTATAAATAAAAACAGTGCTTTTGGAAAATAGTTGTATCCTGTCATGTTTTTACATAAACTGCTAAGCATTCACCATTTTCACATGGTGGTTTTAGTCATTTTATTAACCAAAATATAAGTTTCAGTTTCCCTGGCTTAAGGAATTTAGGTCAAAGATTAAACTAGCTCTATGCATAATTAGTGAATAGCAAACTGGAGCACTGGCTTTGAAATCATCTCTGAGTGTAAACTGGCATGTGGGACAAGGGTTTTATTCTGTAGGCTCTCCTAATGGTATATTGCTATCGGGGAAGGCTTTATGGTAAAAAGATTATCCTGACTGATCTTTCATAGGCGTTTCTTTCTTTCTTTTTTTTTTTTTTTTTTTTTTTTTTTTTTTGGTACCAGGGATTGAACTCAGGTCTTTGTGCTTGCGAGGCAAGGCAGCAGAATCACTGAGCTAAATCCCCAGCCCTCATAGGCGTTTCTGTTCTTTTCTGGCAGGGGAGGAGAATTGAACCTAAGACCTCACACATGCTATCATGGGATCTACCACTGAGTTGCACCCCAGCCATCTTCAGGAAAATGGATAGAAAAACAGTATGTGTATTTTCTGTGCTCCCTTAAGATTAAGTATTGAAAGCAGACAACAGGGAGTTGAAGTTTAGAGGTAACAGCATCAGCAATGTTACAGAGGGGGAAAAAACTATATTCAGAGTAATCCATTTAGATGTTTTTTCCCCTGTTTTAGTTTTCTGGTGGGGGGGGTTGTTTGTGTTTTCAGACCGAGTCTCCCTATGTAATTTAGGATGTCCTTTAAACAAGACACTATGTAGCCCAGGGTGGCCTTGAACTCATAGCCCAGGCTAGCCTTGAACTTGCAGTGATCCTCCTGCCTCAGCCTCCTGAGTTATCTGTTGGTTGTTTTTTGTTTTTGCTTTTGTTTGTTTGTTTTTGTATCAGGGATTGAACTCAGGACCTTGCACTTTCAAGGCTGGCACGGTGCCACTGAGCTAAATCCCTAGCCCTATTGGTTGGTTGGTTTTTTGAGATAGGGTGTCACTATGTAATTCAGGCTGGCCTTTAACTCACTTATACCCCAGAGTGGCCCTGAACTTAAAAGGATCCTCCTGGCTCAGTCACCCAAATGCTGGAATTACAGGCATGCACCACTACACCTGGCTTCATTTTAGCTTTGAGGCAGGGTCTCCCTAAATTACCTAGATGGGTCTAAATCTTGTTAGTCTTAGCTGGGTGTGGTGGCAGATGCCTGTAATCCCAGCACTCAGGAGGCTGAGGCAGGAGAACCTGCCACCAGTTCGAGGACAGCCTGGGCTACACAGGGAGCCCCACATCAAAAACAAAAAAACTAAAATCCTATACTGAAAGAGCACTGGTTTTTTTTAAACCTGATTAAAAGTTTCTATCCTTTTATGAATAAATGAACCCCAAATTTCCCATTAAAATACCAAAAGAATATTCTTTTAAAACTGTTTCCACCCCCTATGGTATCACTGCTTGGGGAGCAGCCTTGCCCTACGGGTCACATGCTGGTCAGGACCTCCCTTCAAATCCTGAGTGGGCCTCCTGCCCCGCTTCATTTGGTGCCCAGGGCAGGAGTGAAGCCCCGTGGTCCCCACACTGCACATGTATTAGCCGGTCCTGGGGCTTCCCTCACTATGCAAAGCGCATGCACCAACCTGCGAAGTTTCCTGGCGTCCTGGTTCAGCATACTCATCTGTTACACAAAGGACGGTTTGCAGGTTAGGACGACCTCACCTCCAGCCCTAGAACCTCGGCTTGCCTGCCTTATCTAGATGAAAGGTGACACCGCTACCACGTGCTTGGTTCTGACTCAAAAAGAGCCTCCGGCGGCGTAACAAAAAGCATTATTTACCCATTGACCCAATGCCAAGGAAAAGCACTGAGCTCAGTGCGGTTTTAAATTCACTGTAATGCCACGTTTCTGTGCCCACATCCCATGAGGGTAAGCGAAGAAGACTGAAACTGAGAGACGGGCCGGAACAGAGGTTGGCCGCTGTGAGGAAGCGGCAGTCGCAGGTATCCTGGTCACACGTGACCAGGGAGTGGGCTTCATCCACCTGCCCTGCCGCTCTTTGGTCGTGGACAGCACACCAGTACCTCAGGAACAGATTGGGTTTTTGGAAACTGCATTCGCTTCGGGCCGTTTGTACCTTTGCTGGCCGCATCCTTGACTCCTATAGTGGGTGGAGGGAATCAAACGTGCAAATGCGTCTCACCACAATCAATCCTCTCAGCAGCCAGCTGTGCAGCACCCGCCTCCTGGGGATCCCCGCCATGCGTACAGGGAAGTGTGCCTGACGGGAGGTGCTGCCTAAGTCTTGGTGTAGCTGTGATTGCTGCTTGTGAGTAGGCAGCACAAGAAAACTTTGGATGAGGGGCACCCTTCACACAGAAACCAGCGTCTGACCTTACCACAAGGGGTGACCTGCAAACCTCAGTTAACCCAGTCGTGTAGGTGTTACACGTGCCACCCAGAGGGCTGGGATGAGGATGGAAAGGAGAAGCAGAACGGGGGAAAGAAAAGAGGAAGAAGAACAGGAAAGACCTGGTTTCCCTGAGGTGAGCAGGGATGATCTGGGAGGAGGCCCAGCTGATTTCAGCCTGGCTGGGGTTTTCCACGGACAGAGCCCGTGAGCAGCACTTCAGTTAACAACCCATTGGCTGTCCACTCAATGCTGCATTTCCCGGAAAATAAGACCAGGTCTTATATCAATTTTTGCTTTAAAAGACTCAATAGGGTATATTATCAGGGGATGTTTTATTTTTTATTCATGTATAGCAATCAACATTTACTCATTTTTTCATGTACAAAAATCTACATTTATTCAAATACATCTTCTTCTGGAACATCATCATAACTCTCTGAATCCCAAATTCTGGCATAAATTTCTTGTGACTCCATTTCCTGTAGAACCATTTGACCCAATCTCTCACATCCAGCGAGAAAGCTCTCCTTTTTTTCTTTTTTTTTTTTTCTTGGTACTGGGATTGAACTCAGGACCCTGCTCTTGCAAGGCAGGTGAGGCCCCACTGAGCTAAATCCCCGGCCCTCTAGAGAAGTTCTGCTTAAAAAACACTTCTTGTCCATGTAGGATGTTTGTGCATTGGCAACACAGCTGTCAGTGATTTTATCCCATGAATTCTTCACCAAGTCACGACCTCTTGTAGGTGAGGCTTCACAAAGTTTTCATTAAGTTTTAACTGAAGATTTAGGAGACAGGAGTGGCAACAAAAATGACAGCTAAGAATGCTGGTCCAGCTGGTCACACTGGAGCATTCCTGTAATCCCAGTACTTGGGAGGCTGAGGCAGGAGGATTGCCATGAGTTCAAGGACAGCCTGGACTCCCTAGTGAGTTCAAGGCTAGTCTGGTCTACCAAGTGAGACCCTGTCTCAAAAAATAAACAGGTAGAGGAAGGGGAAAGGAAAGCAGGGAAAAGAAAAAATATGAGAAAAGGAAAAAATGGAAACAAAGTCATTGTAAATACGGAAGGGTGGAAGTGGTGAAGGAGGGCAGGGAAATGGGTGGCAGGGGGAATAAGAACCAAGATACATCATGTAAAGGTACAAGATCCCAATGATGAATGCAACTACTGTATACCTAAAATCTACCAACTTAATGAAAAAAAAATAATGGTCCACACAAATGTGGCAAAAAATTACAGCCTCCAAATTCAGAAAACATTACTTCACATGAGTGCACTAAGTACGTCTATTACGACGTATTGAATTATGAATATTCACATTAGACACAACCACGTCTGTCCGTTATCATATATGCATGTTCGTGTCTTGTGTCTATACGCTGGTCATTCGGCAGCAAGTCTCCAGTTCATCTGTTTACATAGGCACTTACCTCTCATCCAAAGGTGCCCGCTTGCGTGTTTACAAATAATCACAATTTATATTATCATTTAAGTATTGATGTCAGTATTACTGTTTATTTCATTTCATTATATATTATTTTACAATTCATTACATCCATTATGTGCTGCAGTGGACATACTAAATGCATCTATCTGTCTGGCTGATGAGCTTAACTAGGGCTTATTTTGGGGGGGTAGGGCTTATGTTATGAGCACCTGAAAAAAACATGCCAGGGCTCACTTTCTGATTATGTCTTGGGGAAATGCAGTAGTTACCATCAGAGCTCTGTTGGTCTGGGACCGTATAACTGGGGCCTCAATCGGGGAGCTTGGCTGGCACTTGTTTCTGAGAAAGAAAGAGGAGGGAAGGAAGGAGGGAGGGAGGAAGGAAGGAAAAAGAGAGAGGAGAGAGAGAGAGAGAGAGAGAGAGAGATAGAGAAGTGAATTGGGGTGTAGTTCAGTGTGAAAGCCCTGAGTTCAATTCCCAGTACTGAAAAAGAAGAGGGTGGAGTGTCGGACAAGAATGCTGGAAACGCCTTTATCAATTCAGGACGCATTTTCACCAGCAGATGTTTCTGAGCCCTTCCTCCCTCCAAGTCAGACACCCTTCTTCAGGGCACCACTAGGCACCATGGCTGAGTCTCTCGAGGGACTGGGACTTCGGTGCCCCCACGGCTGGCAGCGCACCTCCGCCAAGTGAGCTGTCACCGAGACGCACGTAGCAACTTCAGATCGGGTCTGCACCCAGCACAGTGAAAGTCTGGCCCTCTGCAGAAGCAGCTGCAGCATGAAGACATCTTGTGCAAGGCTGGCCTCTGGGCCCCCTTTGAGGAGGGCTGTGCTAGGGACCCCTCTGGGACGGCGCCGCAGCTATCCTGGTGAGAGGAGGTCTCCAAAGCCACATTTGTACTACACAAAGCACACCCTCCCTGTCACGAACTACACAGAGATCCCTTCCGGGGTTTTTGTTTCTTTCCTCTTCTGTCTTCTCTGTGAAGAGTACTTCAACCAAAGGCCCCTGGAAAGCAAGGAGTTATGCAACAGGGCTTGTAAAGCACGCAGGGCTGCAGATGCTTGCGGGCCTCCTTCCACAAAATGGACCGGCTGGTAGCTTTGGAAGGGAGGGGCTCT